TTTGTGCTGCTCCTTGTCCTTTGGTACATAATGAATGTCTCCAGAAAATTTGACCTAATTCCAAAAAGAATTGGCTGAGATGTTTGTATTTTACGGTGGACTATCCGCGAAGGTAGATCGCCACCTTAAATACAGGCAAGGGAAAAGGAACAGGAACAGTGGATTAAATACAGTAAGAAGGTGGTAAAACAGCGCAAAAAAAAGAAAGAAGATAGCTAAAGTAAACAGCGAAAATTGCAATAATGACACAAAGGTGCAAATGCGAGAAAACTCAATAAGCGTGACATGTAGTGCGACAACAAGAGACAACCACTGGACATACATGTAACTAACGAGGTTTTGACGACCTACCTAACAGCCTAAGTGTGAATTTGATTTGTTTCTGCTTGCAAAGGTTGGGTTTCTTTGTGTGGATGTATACAGCTTCCAAAACATTCAGCAATCTAGCACTGCGTACACGTGACACAATCGAAAAACAATCATCTGGATACACAGCACGACAATCAGGATGCTCAAACAAATGACTAGCTGTGGACGACTCATACTTATCAGAACTAACATCAGAACAATCAGCATGTGCGGTGGACACATCCGATTTCACATGGCTAGTCGAGTGGACCCTAGCCGTTGCCTCTGTCTGTGCTTTAGTCGCTGCCATCGCCGCCGTTGCCGATCTTGTCATTCTTCTGGTTGATGCGGTTCCTGTCACTGCCACGCCAGTAGGTGTCTTGTCCGGTTGTTTTTCTGGTGGTCTAGTTAATTGTCTTACATTGCATTAATCTGTCGCTTCTGGATGCTGTGCAATCTGCTTCTGATAGAGCTGCTTGGCTCGAAATTGTTAACAGATGCGTTGACCTCATGCAATGAGCGAAATGCGAACTGTCATTATTATTATTATTATTAGTTAATTGTGAGGTGACGTTGCTTGGTGTTGATGCCGCTGCGTTGGACCATCTTGTACCAGGATGATTCTTTGCTGGACGTCCCCTCCGTGGTCGAGTGGATCGTGCGTGTTGTGGAATAAGGTGTAGCGGTGCGTGTTGTCGGATGCGTGCGTCCAGATGTTTTACCACCTTCTTACTGTATTTAATCCACTGTTCCTGTTCCTTTTCCCTTGCCTGTATTTCACCTGCCGAGAAGGCTTGAAAGTATACTTGTGAAGACAAAAACTTTCAAGATGTTTGTAATGAGCCTGAAGTGTGTACTTTTTATGAGTATTATCGCATTTTTGTCTCAGAGGAAACTGTTTACTAGTACTAGTGTTAGTAAATACCCGGGCCACGGTGCATGGTATGATCATGATGATTGCATCGCGTACTTTGTAGTGTGTGTGTATTGCCTTTTCCGACTTTTGGGGTGCCCTTTGCTGCACTCAGGGAACCGAACGTGCTGGTATCTCGTTTTGTGGTTGATGGTACAGTACACAAATGCACGCCACATAGTATTTTTAGTCAAGCTCAACAAAATTTGACAACACAAAATAACGTACATGTCTACAGTCTAGCATGTGACTGAGTACTAGTACATGTAGTAGCAGTGGGTCTACCGTTCGGGATGACCGGGACGAATAGGGAGATGTCCCTTCATCTAACGATCTGTTGCTTTGGTATCGCTGGAGAAAGCTGGACCAGGACAGCCAAAGAGATACATCTACTCGTACGGTAGTTAAGATCACCTTTAGGTTTTGATGGGACTTTCCCCACGACAGCCAAAGAGATACATGACTGTATATGTACATAGATGACCTCGTTGTCAAGATCACCGGCTTTAGCGTTTTAGTTTAGGTTTTGGTGGGACTTTCCCCGGGGGAACGCTGCTGAAACAGAAACTGAAATACATGTAGTTGTGCTAGCAGCACTTCGATCATGTGCTAGTGGTCAGTGTGGTCTGACGACATCGAAACACCTATTACTCACCCTTTGCCACCCTCCAACGAAGCCGGTCAAAACATAGTATGACCAGCGTATAAAAGCACACAATTTCAACGGCTACTAGTACTTCAGAACAAATTTCAGAGCAATTTACAGCTGCCTAGGCTAGAGTGACTAACTTGTGAACTATTGGATCTCAGTCGAGTAAGTCTTTAGTGGAACCATTCACTGCTCTAGCGTACGTCAGACACCCGGGTACTAGTATTCAGTTGACTCGGTTGACGCAAGGTTGTGATGGACAATTTCGACGACTACAGACCGTGTCCAGATGGAAAGAAGATTGATCGCACGATTGTCCTAATGGGTCGGACTGGCAAGGGCAAGTCCACTTTGGCAAACGTCATTGCCGGTCGATACAAAGGTGACTTGTTCCCGGAGTCAAGTTCTCCGACCAGTAAGACCGAGGGCTTGCCTACTAAGACCGTCCTCGTGCCATACGCCGGTCGCGACTACGCAGTGAAGATCATCGACACCATCGGATTCTGCGACAACCGCTTCACCGAGGAGCAGGTGCTACTGGAGCTTGCGCATTTGGCACACACGTGCAGCGGTGGGATCAACCAGATCATCTTCGTCACCAATGGCCGATTCACCCAGGAAGAGCGACAGGCCTCCGATTCCGTCATTGACGTGATCTTTCAGCCGCAAGTGGCGCCTTTCTGCACCCTGGTTCGCACGAGAACGCCGGGTGGGGAGCTGCGAGAAGACGTAATCGCGGCCAAGACGAAGGCCTACAAGAAGGAGTCGGTCGCTCTGCACCCCAGCCTGGCACGGCTGTTTCGCGTGATTCAAAAGGCAAGATGGCGTCCTTTTACACATTTTTGGTAAAAACCCACCTTTTTAACGCCTTGGCGGTGCCCACCCAGAGATTACACGCAGTGCAAGGAAATATTTTTTTGCTTGGTGCCAAAAGAGCTACAGAGCTACAAAAAAAAACATTGTCGAGTTGTTTGGAGTTCGTCTCGTTGTAGGCCAAGTCAAGTGGTTTTGAAGTGTAGTGTTCGCTGTCTTGACGTGGAGTTTCGATAAAAGATGAAGGCGACATCTGCCAGACCCAGTGACTCTTCGGTTTATGCCGTTCTTCGACACAACATCATTTTCGTGCAGGAACTATTGTTATTACTTCTACAATAATTATAGTAGTTCAAGTTCTAGTATTACGGATCATGTCACAGTGCATTGTCCTCTACTTGCCTGTGGACGAGGAACGTTGTGTAGTTCCTGCACGTGCTCAGCACCTGAACTGTACGTTCCTTTAGAGTTTAGTTCAGGATTCAGGGCTACCCGTAGATGTGTTGACGCATGCCACCTGGTGGCTGAATCAGTGCACGTGATTTTCAACCTGGCAGGAGGAAGCAAAGAATTTTCATGGACACTCGCTTGAGTATTTTGACAAGTCCCCCCCCCCCCTTTCTGGTGCTGTTCTGTTGGCACACTGCATCTGCATGGCGGGCCTGGGACAGGCATGCTCCCATGCAGCTGCTGTACTATTCTGGCTGGATTCTGATATGAGATCACAAGGCTAGCACAGCAGGATCTGCACAGCAGGATCTGCACAGCAGGATCTGCACAGTGGCTGAACATCAGCAGTAAAGAAGGTGCAGTATAAGAAGTAGTAAATTCGATTTCAGTGGTGCAGAACAGTTTTGATTTCAAATTGCATCGCTGCATTGTATTTTGACTTTTGTCTCATGTTTGAAGTAATTAGTTACAGTTTTGCTGTTCAAATGATTTCTGAATGTATCAGAGTGATAATGTTGACCTACCTATGGCCCGCCACCACCCGCGCTGATGTTGTGAGCGACAAAACAGTTTACTTCTCCATAGGTAGCTAGATTTGGGAATTTTCCCTTGGCTTTAATACTGCAATTGTTGTGCATTATAAATTAAGCACTGGTGTGTCGGCAGTGTGGTTGTTAGGTACTGCACGACCAAGACCTTTAGACGGTCAACATCTTTGTTTGTGTTCTGCAGGCCAGAGCGAAGGAGGTTGAATTTGTGGTGTATTAATTCACCTCCTTCCTCTCCAAGAGTACATACATGCGAAGGCGTGGCTCGCCCGAACAGCGTGGCTTCGTCAATATCGACACCCAACAAACTCTCCCCGGTGTTTTGGCTCTTGTTATCCACCGAGCACGCCCCCTTAAGATTCTTCTCCTGCTTTGGTCTACCTCCCTTTCTTGCACTCTCAATCCACCCACATACAATGCATTTATCATCTGTGTGCGGCATCCAGGCTAGTACATTTGGCAGAGCCTTACTACAGCCACCACCACCACTATCCCCTCCCTTAATATCACCACCAACATCACACGGTGTTTCACTTTCTGCTGACTTCTGGATAAATAGTAAGCATGCCCTACAGAAATGTGTGGGGTGGACACCACTTTCATCTTTTTCTACCTTGATACCTAGAACATTGAAGATCTGCAATGCATAATCTTTCACTAGATAAAATTAATAGAGGGCTCCAAGACTTCCGACCACTCCGATGGCTGGGCAGTTTACATCCACCCAAGCGACACAACATACCCACATGCTCAAGGTGAAAATTCAAATTTTTGAAATCAGAGCTCATTGTTCAGCCATAAGAGACGTCAGAAAGAACACCATGCACACAAAACTACCCTACAGATCACAATGACACTAACGTATTTTGTAGATGAAGGTTTCCGCTATACAAATAAACTTCCCTCGCCGCCACCAAAACTTCCCCAACTAGCTACCCAGGGCAGTTTCCCTGGGCTACGTACAGCAAAAGACACGCTCAAAAAGGAGTAAGAAATCGACAAGAAACGCTTGAAAAGTCGCTCGCTCGAAGAAAGAAGCACTCGTTTTTTACACGCGATTGTGCTACAGCTACTGTACTCTCACACGAGGCTATTTTTGTTGTTTTCAGTGTCTCAGGCTCCGCTCGGTGAGGCCGAGAAGCCGCGTGTAGAGAGCTGGCCCTGAGAAAATTCTCAGCCCTTGAGTACGCTTGAGTACGGGAAAATCCCCTACTTCGGTGACTGCTGGCCTGGCCTCGAACCCGAGATGCTGTGCACGGGTTTTTGCAGTCTGAATCAGCCGTGTGGGGCGCATCAACACTTTCCTCATGGTCAGCAACCCAGACGACGGCGATGACCACAGTTACGAGGTACGCAGGAGAACTCGAAAGCGTATGATCGAGCACATCATTCTACATTATCAGGCTGTCTACGTTCCACCTCTGTTTGCCGAAGTCAAGGGCAGGATCGATGGCCATATTCAGCAGAAAACCGCGACGGAGCGCAAACTCCAGCAGCTGGAAAAGAAGCTGAAGGCGATGAGCATCAGCAAGGAGGATTACATGAGGGAGAACGCTAAGGAGCTGGCAGAGCTCGCGCGCATCAATGGGGAGCTGACTGCAAAGGTCAAGGAAGAAATACCGTGGTGGAAAACAGCCCTGACAACATTGGGACAAGTAGCAAGCACAGTGCGCGATGTGATTGTCACGCGGCGTAGGTAAGTTTGGGCCTGGTCTCCGCAGGTTCTTACAACCGTTTGAATTATAACTCTACTTTGCAAAGAGTTGTCAATCCTCTCTGTATTATCCCTATTTTGTTGTTGAGTACTACATCACAGGAAGACCACACACATGCACAGGCATGTTTGCGATGACCTGAATCCAATACCGTACGCACAATGCTGATTTGAATTTGTGTTGCACTTTCACATTGTTTGTGATCACAGGGTGGAAGGATGCTATCCAGGACCGCCACTAACGGTCAGGCCGCCAACATGACGGAACAAGTGGTCCCTGCAATTGCGCAAGCACCACACGGCAGGAGTTTGCTGCAGCTTCATGCCAACTCTTTGTACCGTAGATCCTTTCCTATGTTACAGTATGTACCTAGTGTAGTATTCCTACCTAGTACCTGTCCTTGCTTGTTAGTTGTACTGTAAGTTGTAGACAATGTAGTATCCTGCATGTACGTAAACGAAACTACATGCATGATGCATGGACAGTCTTTTTAGCACTCTGAGTCATACGTAACATGTACACGTCATGTACATTGTACATTCGGTTGCCAGCTCTTATCACCCACACACTAACACGTTCACATCTACTGCACTAACTTACATACACTGCACACTAGCTCGTACTTTGTACATATTTGCCTTGAGTTTCTTTGGATAAGGCTTTTTTCAAATTTTCATTTTGATTTCATCGTCGAGTTTCATCCCTTGTATCTTTGGTTTTCTTCCTTCTTTCGATGTCGTATGTTTTGAATAAACCCGTTTTGAGTCCATTGCAGGGAGTAGTCAAATAAATGTGAGCCCCAGCCAGCAGAAACCTGAACATGTGTAATTTTTTCAAAAATTATTTTTTCCCTCGAAATTGTTTCTACACTATTAATCATTCAAGTTATCAAGTTTGGTAACAATCTGATAAGCGAAAGCATGGAAAATAGAGTTTGAAGTCAGAGAGGTCAAGATTCGGTACAGTTGGCGCAGCATCCATGCCTAGTGACTCCATGCAAGTTGATCCTACAGTTTCTGATTGTGATGTGGAACAGGTACATGTAAGTAAATAGAATGCAAGTCAGGCTTGCCCTCTTGGTGCTGCAGCCTGTGCAGGCATGAGTAGTTCAGAAGTCACAGTGACGATATTCCGTATACATCACTACCTTCTTTACAACACCAGAGTGCAAAACGATGATTGGTGGCTGGCCTTCCAAATTGTGTTCAGGGACCTCTGCGCTGGCAGTTTGGGCGTTGTCCCAAAGCTTGCCATACTGATAGATGTACTGATCAATACTACTGACATCCACTCCCTTGCACACTTTCACTCAGACCATGATTTCAGCATAATTGTATTTCAATGATATGAGCGAATGCTGGCGTTTTGTAGCACGTGAACATGTTGCCCCAAAGCGTTCAGCCGGTTTGAGTTTTTAGGGATCCCCTTTCTCAACACAGGCAGCAGCCAGCTTGATGTCGTCTGGCAAGGTAGAGTACTGAGAATACTACGCTCTGTTTTGCGCCGTGAGAAGCCCTCCACCAGTGTCTGCAACATCATTGTTGTCGATGTAGAAATACGGATCGCTCAGCGGGTCGAAATTCAGCTTCTCCTCGCAGTCGCTATTTCTTCAGCACTGACTATCGTCGCCACCAGTATCCAGTGTCGATTTTATGAGGGCTCTTCGTTGCTATGCATATGACACTCGCCACTGCTGGACAAACTCAGCGAGATCGCCAACAAAGAAATAATTCCGATCGCGAACTAACTTTCAGCGCCGCTTCGTACAGGGAGTCTCACGCTGACAACTCTGGACCTAAGTCTTTGTCGCGACACCTGTCGCCATCGCTGTGTCTAAACTCAACCTCCGTGTGACGAGCTCTCACCTAGCGCTAAAATCAATTGACCAGAGACATTTGAAGACACTTGAAACTCCTTTGACAACAAAGACACCCACTCGATCGAAAAGAATCTTCAAAAGCCAGCTCACTGCGCGTCCCAAACTTTGACGTCACATTTTGATGATTGATATCAAGTACACAAGTGCTGGTTTTCGCTGGCCGGGGCTCATGTAGTAAAATTACTACTCCCTGGTTCAAACACTCAACTGCCTTGGTGTATGCTCAAGCCGTGCGTACTGATGCTGCCCTTGTACATGTATGTATTATTATTATTATTCACACATATCCGCCGGATGAGTACGCGTGGCCCATGCACCATGGGGACCCACGAATACAAACCAGCATATGTTCCCTCAGCAATACAAGCAAGCAAGCACGCAAAGATAAATGAGAGCCCAGGCAGCGAAAACAAAACGAAGAGAGATGAGGACATAGGCAACGAAAACAATTCCAAAGCATAGCCAGGGATTGAATGTGTGCATCTGGGTACGACAGTTAACACGGCTAGTGCAGCCGTACAGAGCGTAGCAGCATGTAAATACAAAAGCGCCACAGCAGCAGCCAAGAGTGTGCAAACACTAAAAAAGAAGATCAGTCCATGAAAAAATTATTGTCGCCACAGGTAGACATCTCCGGCAAGAATGCATGCGTGCGCACAAGTAGGCAGGTAAGCATGTCAGATGTAATCGTATTATTATGGCCAGGCTAATTAACAGTGCTGTTTCGCAATGAATTCCATCGGCATTTATCATACGCCACCTTCCGAAGCTGGGCTATGTATGTATGCACAGGTATACTTGCAGTACACTTTGCTCAATAACAATCCCTCAAAACTTGATCCTGGATGAGAACAGTTACGATCGTTTTTGAGGATTCGTTTTTCTTCAGGTCGAGCATTTCTTTAGTCAATTGGCCCCTATATGTACATGTACGTCACAAAACTATCTAGCTATGCCTGAGTTGGTCCTACTGCGGAGGTCGTTTTTGACGAGGTTGACTGCATTATTATTTTGGTGTCCCGTGCATTTACATGTACACTATACATGAGCACTCTTGCGTGGGGTAGTGCCTTTGCTGCTTGCGTTATGCAGAGCTCACTGACTTGTCAGTTTGAGCACTCTGGCAAGGTACGTTCGGGCCTGATTGGAAATTTTTATTTCCATTGCTATCAGGTTCGGCCTCATTTCCTCTGTGCTGCGCTGATGAGTTCAAAAAGAACGAAACAGCATGCTGTCCGCAGATTGAGTATTTCGCTCCTGCTCTTGTAGCAGTTGAGCACTCTTGCGTGGGGTAGTGCCTTTGCTGTTTGCGTTATGCAGAGCTCACTGACTTGTCAGTTTGAGCACTCTGGCAAGGTACGTTCGGGCCTGATTGGAAATTTTTATTTCCATTGCTATCAGGTTCGGCCTCATTTCCTCTGTGCTGCGCTGATGAGTTCAAAAAGAACGAAACAGCATGCTGTCCGCAGATTGAGTATTTCGCTCCTGCTCTTGTAGCAGTTGAGCACTCTTGCGTGGGGTAGTGCCTTTGCTGTTTGCGTTATGCAGAGCTCACTGACTTGTCAGTTTGAGCACTCTGGCAAGGTACGTTCGGGCCTGATTGGAAATTTTTATTTCCATTGCTATCAGGTTCGGCCTCATTTCCTCTGTGCTGCGCTGATGAGTTCAAAAAGAACGAAACAGCATGCTGTCCGCAGATTGAGTATTTCGCTCCTGCTCTTGTAGCAGTTGAGCACTCTTGCGTGGGGTAGTGCCTTTGCTGTTTGCGTTATGCAGAGCTCACTGACTTGTCAGTTTGAGCACTCTGGCAAGGTACGTTCGGGCCTGATTGGAAATTTTTATTTCCATTGCTATCAGGTTCGGCCTCATTTCCTCTGTGCTGCGCTGATGAGTTCAAAAAGAACGAAACAGCATGCTGTCCGCAGATTGTGTACACTATACATGTACATTATCCATATAAAAATCGCTCTGTGAGCGGTTCTGAAAAACCTTTACTGGTACTGCCCCGTCGTAAAAGTAAGAAATTAGAACTGGCCCATTGTCCCCCCAAATGCGAACTGATCCACCTAAATCGCGAATGACGGGACCCGAACGCACCAGTAGCACGAGGTCGGGAGGGCACAGGACAGCAATTATCATAGGGTAACACCACCTACCGCTAGTACAGTACATGGCCTATAGTCCGGACCAAGTTGTCCAACGTCCCCATCTGCATCCACAGGTAGGAACATCGTGCTACTGGTGCGTTCGGGTCCCGTCATTCGCGATTTACGTGGATCAGTTCGCATTTGGGGGGACAATGGGCCAGTTCTAATTTCTTACTTTTACGACGGGGCAGTACCAGTAAAGGTTTTTCAGAACCGCTCACAGAGCGGTTTTTATATGGATAATTTCAGTTCTTTTTCCGTTCCCTCCAACCCCGGAGGTAAACATAATGACCACGCGCACGCGATGTACTGTATGTAGCCATGAGACTGCAATAACACACTGATACATACCAGCCCTCCCCGCCGCGCTACCCCGCACACAGATACACAAACATGCGTATGCACACGGCACACACACGTGGCCACGCACATGCACAAGACACAAACAGGAAATTCTTCATATATAATGCCATGCAAAGCAGTGGCCACCGTACTTGAGGAAGTCAGTTGTGAAACAAAAATAATTCAACTACAGCGTGTAGACAAGCTGACGGCCAAAGCACAACATAGCAAACATGACATTTGCCCAAGGATTGCAGTTTGCAGACCACGCCATGGAAGCAGCGAATACAGAATGTAATATCATACAAAGTGACAAGCAAGGGAGAGGCCATCATACCCCAGAAACTTGCAGAAAGTCACACATCCAACAGATAGAGAAGTGAACAGCAATCTGATACAGCCCACACAGGACAAAGCTGACCTGATACTCGTCCCAGGATCGCAAGTGGCAAATCCTTTTCCAAGGCCGTCACAGCCGGGGCTGCCCCACTTTTTCGGCCGTTTTTTTTTTTTTTTTTTTTTTTTTTTTGGAGCACATGACAAATCCTTGTCCCCGATCATGGCTTGTTGTGAACCCTCTAAGATTCTCTAAATTGTCAGGATCGTACGACCACACGGCACGAGGACAACACTTTTCCTTTAGACAGTATATTTCACTTCATCGAATAATTAACAATGAACACTAATAACACCAGCTATTTATAGCATGCAAAACAGCGTACATGCAAAAACATACGCATATAAAACTGGACATAACAGCGTATACATGGATGCAGCTAATGGGACTTCGGTCTTTGACCACTTGGTGGTGGGTCTAATCTACTCACCTCCCACCGTTTAGGCGCTGCATCTGCGCCTTTGATCCTAGAGGGTGGTGGCGTTCCCACGGCGGATGCGGAAAACCCGGCTTCCAGCCGAGTTTCACGCGAACCGTGAAATTTTTTATTTTTTTTATTAACAGCGTATACAGCAAAACACACACAGCGCATATAGCGTATGCCATGCAGCAACATCAGCGGTACGGCGGAGTCGAAAGACAACATTGCGACGAATACAATGCTATAAGCGCGAAGGCCTTTCCCAATTGAGAACTGGTGGTTTGCAACATTCTCCCCACCAAAGGGCTTCTCACCGCCGTACAACAATGCACAAAAGTCAAAAACGATCCGGGGCTCTGACTACGCGCCCAGAACGCGTCATCTACTGCTGCCGTGGTGGTGGTAACGGTGCTGACGGTTCATACGCTGGCTGCTGAGGGACGATAGCAGGTTGAGCGGTATCTGCAAGCCCAGGAGCCACGTCCTGTGACGATACTTCTAACGGCACTAACCTTTGGATCGGCCTCAACAGGGTACTGGTACTCAACTTAACCTTGGCAACACGACGCTTACCATCTCGACCAGG